CTGCCACCTGTTCGAGAGTGCTTGTACATTCATAATAAACTGGCACTGGTTTTCAATCTACTTAAACTGTTGATTTTAATACCCAGATGGGCTGTCCTCAGCTATTGGCAAAGCCTTCTTTAGCCTCTCATAATCGCTTCTCTGGTGCTCAAATAGGCCCATGTTTGCATTAAATGGAGAGAGCATTAAGGCAGATATTCTCAATCTCCTTGAATCTCCCCATATTCATTCCAGCTGATCTCTCCATTGCTTAACTGAACTAGAATCATTTCCTAAAAGATTACAGGATAACCTCAAATGGCGTAAGTAACTCAATCTTAAAGGTAACTCTTCCTAAACTGGGAATGAGGGAAGACGTTTAAACTGCACACTTAATGACTTTAATTAAGTAATATCGAGTAGTTGGCTGCAGTGAAGAAAAAAAGGATTTTTGTGCAGCCACTCGTGGGAACCTCTGCCTCCGCCATTCGAGTGGCCCTGTGGGTCTGTGCAGGCCGGACTCAAGCCTGGGCGTTTCCTGTCTCTCCCCTCCGCAGCCCGAGACCTCTCTCTGGAACCACGTGTCCTGGTGGAACTGGGTGGCAGAAGAGGAAGAGGCAGAGAGACCAGAGGCCGAAGGCCAAAGAGAGGCAGCCGGGGGAGGCCGGAGGGCCGAGGCGAGGAGGCGGCGGCGGAAGGAGAGGGCCGACGAGGCCGGGGAGGGGGCAGGGAGGGGGGGTCGCATCCGGCACAGGGGGCCAGTGGGGAAGGGCCTGCTGAAGGGCAGGGAGGAGGAGAGGGGGAAAGGGAAGGGGGAGAAGGAGGAGAGGAGGGGGCAGGGGGAGAAGCAGAGGGGGAAAGGGAGGGGGGAGAAGGAGGAGAGGAGGAAGAGGAGGGCGGGCAGGGAGGAGAGGGGACAGGAGGCGAAGGAGAGGAGGAAGGAGCAGGAGAGGAAGGAGGGGAAACCAGGCCGAGAGAGCGGGCGCGCCCCCGCCGGCGCTGGAGAGAAGAGGCAGGGGGTGAGGGAGCACCGCCACACGCTGTACGGGGAGAAATTCACCCGCAAGAGGAGGGGGGAGAGCCCGCCCGGGGCGCCCAGGAGGAGCGGGTGAGGGCCCGGGGAGAGGGAGGCCCCCCATTGCAGGGGGCGGCGGCGGGAGACCCCCTGGGGAGGCAGGCGGAGTGTAGGACCCCCCCCC